ATCACCCTTGGCTTGGAAGGCTGCTGCTTCTGCGTGCGATCGACGTTGAGAGGTAACATGCCTTTGTTGCTCATCATTGACTACTATATGATAAGCTTCGGCAACTTCGGGAAGAGGTTTCATCGCAAGGATCTGCGATTTGACAGTAGAGAAGGCGTCGTCAAGGCCCATGAGGAAATCAAACAGGCGTTCCACATCTCGAGTCTCTCGTTGACGCCGTTTGACGTCGCATGTGCAATTGTTACACGTGCATTCAATTAAGGGAGATAGAGAAGCAATTTCGTCCCAATGGCCACGAAGTTTTGTATAAAAGGAAGCAACTGATGATTTTCTTGCTGAAGAGATTTGATGATGCCACGAAGTTCATAGAGCCTCGGAGCACAGCCATGGCCGAAACGTGCTTGAAGACCGGACCAGATTTCTCTCGCAGTAGTGGCGAAACGCACGCTGCTGCGTATTTCTTTACTCATAGAAGTCTTCAACCAGCCCTTCACCATCGCGTCGCACTGTTTCCAGGCTTCGCGATCAGGATCAGCCGCTGGTTTCTCGATCGAGCCATCGACGAACCCTAATTTGTTTTTGGCGATAAGGGAGTCAGTCATGTCGCCAAGCCACTCCCCATAATTGACGTCAGTGAGCAAGTCCCCAACATAGAGATGATTAGGGTTGTCGGATTGATGAAGAATGAACGGCGACGGAGGAACCACGGGCTTGTTCTCACCGCTGCCCGAAGACCCATTGTCGCCAGCCATGATGATAATAACTGTGGAGTCGTCTCACAGCTCTGATACCATGAAGAAAACGACAAAACAAATAACGAAATATCGAGACACCGGAGTTTTACGTGGTATCCCTGTTCAGTATGAACATGACTAATCCACGGTGAGCTCGGAAAGAGCTCACGGCTGAGATGTGATTATTAGGGTTTCACAAGAACAAAAATGGAGCCGAGAGAGATTGATAGATGATGAGCAGCTCTTGGTCCTATTCAGTACATATAGGGTTCCGATTCAACTAGCTACTCGGAAGGGAAAAATACAAAAAGATCCCAAAGGAAAAGGGTACGTGACAATAAGGCCCATGCACACGTCCATGCGTCCAACGTCACGTAACAATGTCACAGTAAAAATATACAAATCTAATAATTTAAAAAATAAAAATCTCCAACAATTCATTTTCATTATTATTTTAAATAATAAAAAATAAACTCACAAAATGGAAATATTCGTCATTATCTTATCTGATATCTCCTTCTCACATGACCACACACCTTCCCCGATACCACTTCTTCTCGTCAATACCTCTCCGATCAAAATGCATCAGCTGCCGCCTGCATGTTCTCTATTCGATTTTTTTTAGATAGATTAGCTACTCATAGTGCATATTGAGAAAAAAGAATCACTTTTTTCTACCATATAAGTTGAATCTACAAAGAATAAAATGGATTTTGGCGACGACAATAACATTTGAGGACCTCACTTTGTCCTTGGCTGCTATTTGCAGTAGCGGCGATAACAACGCTTTGTTTGCAAAACCCTAAAACCTGGGTTCTTCTCATTTCACTCTTCAGCTTATATAGCTGAGTAGAACAGTACAGAGTTCTGCAGTAGCTTACAATTCAAGAAAGAAGACAAAACGTAGGGAAAAAGAAAGTACAGGCCGAAAATGGTAAAATGTTGAAATAAGAAGATCAGGTACCGATTGACACTTTGCCAGAAACGACGTCACTCCACGAACATTTCTTTAACTCTGATGATGGTGGAACGGTGTCGCTTTGAATCGTCTCCTTCCCTCTTGTAGACGGCTCTGCTCCATTGTTCACCGTTGGAGATTTGAATTGCAGCGGCAGCAGTGAAAATCTTCCGTTTTCCCCTGATACCCCCCCCCCCCCCCCGGCAAGCTGGTGGGCACATGTTGAGGACACCAAGCTTGGAGAGGAGCAAATGGAATGGAGCAGGAGGAAGGGGCTTCGTGAAGAGATCTACGAGCTGGTGAACTGAGGACACATGGATGACTTTGATTGTTTTGGAAATCAACTTCTCACGGACGAAATGACAATCAATTTCGATATGCTCGTTCGTTCGTGGAAGGTAGGATTTTCGGCGATGTAAATCGCTGATTGATTTTCGCAATAGATGGTGGCAGGCTGGGGATGAGCAATCTGAAAATCATGGAGTAAATAAAGAAGCCACTATACCTCACAAGCAGTGTAAGCCAATGCTCGATACTCTGCTTCGCAAGAAGAGCTGGAGATTGTTGTCTGCTTCTTGCATTTCCAGGAGACTAGTGAGTCGCCCGATGTGGGTGGTTGGGGAGTGATAGGTGGTTGTGATGTTGGACTGTAATTTGGACTTGGATCATCATAAAGAGCAGGATCAGATGGATTAGAACAGGGTGGGGAATGGTCTGGGTTATGGTTATGAAATGGAAACACATTTTCATGAAATTGAACATCTCTGGAGACAAAAACATCATGTGTGGAAAGGTCATAAATTTTGTAACCTTTAATGCCACGTTGATAACCAATGAAAACTCACTTTCTAGCTCTAGAATCAAACTTTGCTCTATTGTTAGAAAGTGTAGAAGCAAAGCATAAACAACCAAAGACTTTGAGGTCAGAAAGGTCTGGTTTCTGTTTGTATATCTTCTCATAAGGAGTGAGGTTCCCCAGAACAATTGTGGGAACCCTGTTGATCAAATAAACTGAATGCTTGACACAATCTGCCCAAAAGGCAGGAGGAAGGTTGGATTGAAATTTGAGGGCCCTAGCTACAGAGAGAATGTGTTGATGCTTCCTTTCCACTTTGTTATTTTGTTGTGGAGTTTCAACACAGGATTGTTCATGGAGAATGCTAGTGTGATTGAAAAAATCTGTCATGGCAAACTCTCTACCCTGGTCACTTCTAATCTTCCTGATGTTGGTTTGGAATTGTCTCTCAACATAGGAACAGAATGCTTGTAGCTTAGGTCTAGCATCAGACTTAGCTTGTAAAAGAATTATCCAAGTCATTCTACTAAAGTCATCAACAATTGTTAAAAAATACTTGAAACCATCATAACTTGGAATTGGATTAGGCCCCCCATATGTCAACATGCAAAAGTTCAAAAGCATGTGTAGATAAAGAAGTACTGGAAGGGAAAGGAAGTCTCTTTTGTCTAGCAAAATGACAGACATCACAGGGTATAGAACTGTTTGTATCTATCTGTGGACAAAAAGTTTGCAAAATGGGCACTTTAGAATGTGAGACATGTCCTAGTCTATGGTGCCAAATATCAAATGTCTTTGTGGTGGCTGTTGTGATGTGTTGGGAGAGATTGGTATCTACAGTGGTCTCTAGGTGGTAAAGGCCATAGGATAGCTGAGCAGAACTAGTCATCCTCCTCAGCTGCATATCCTGAATCAAGAAGACATCAGAGAAGAAGGTCAAGCAAAGGGATCTGTTTTTGGTTAGTTGACTGACAGAGATAAGGTTGAAGCTAAATTGTGGAACAAATAGAGCTTCATGCAACACTAGGTCTGCAACACAAGTAACTGTGCCTGAATGTGTTTCTTGAACTTTGCCTCCTGTGGGAAGGGTGATATAGATATTGTGTAGGGTTCTGTAGTTGGATAGATGACTGTTGATGAAACTGGCAGCTGAAAAAGAGGGACCTGAACTTGTGGAAGGTTTGGAGTTGCCTTTGTCATTCATGAGGGACATCAGCTTCAGGTAGTCAGCTTTTGTAAGCTTGACTTCTTGGTGTAGATCCTCTGAAGTAACTGAATGAGCTTGAGGTTTGGCTCTGGTTGGAGCCCTAGGATTTGGATATCCATGTTTGCTGTAACACTTCTCTTCAGTATGTCCTGGTTTCTTGCAGTAGGTACACTCAATAGTCCTATTAGAAGGATTTGCTGGTTTGGTACTCATTCCTTGTGGCCACCCATGTTTGTGGTAGCAAGTTTCTTCTGTGTGACCAAGGAACTTGCAATGAGTGCAGTAAGGTCTAGGCCTTCTAATCTGAGAAGTGTTGGAGCTTTGTGCTGCTAAACTCATTGTGTCCACTGCAAGAACCCTATTGAGTTGTGTTCTATATTGTTGTCTCTCATGTTGAAGCATCCTTTGAAACACACGATCAATATTTGGCAATGCATCCCCAAAGAGAACTTGAGATCTCACAGTGGAGAAATTCTCATTCAAACCTCTTAGGAACTGGATAACAGATTTTGTGTCTTTGTATTGAAAAACTAGCCTCATAGCTGCACATGTTTCCCTATTGGTGGGTGTACAAGTGTAGTGTTCAAGGGGCTGATAATTATCCAACTCATTTCGAATTGCAATGAAATTACCATAGTATTCTGTGACAGATTGACTACCTTGTTTGAGATTGCTGAGGTTTTCAGTGAGCTCAGCAATTCTGACCATATCTCCTTGACCATAGCGAGATCTCAAACTTCTCCAGGCTTCAAGAGATGTCTTGCAGGACATAATGGTCTTGCGGATGCTGGCTTCAACTGCTTGCTGAATCCAGGAAAGGACCATGACATTGTTCCTATTTCAGGCCCAAACATTCTGGTGATCTGCTCCTAGGTGGGGAATGGAACCATTGATGAAGCCAAGCTTGTTCTTGGCTCCCTAATCATTGAGCATGGCTTGGCTCCAGTCATTGTAGTTGGTGGTGGTAAGTTTCTCACCCACCAAGATCAGACCTGGCTGCTCAGAACCATGCAAATAGTAGGGATCTGCCATAGGATCAACAGCAAGCTGAGGCTATGCATTTGCAGCAGCAGCAGTAGCTGGATCTGCTTGAACATTGTCGGCCATGTTTGTGGCGGCTAGTGTTTAGAAGGTCTCTGATACCATAACAACGCTTTGTTTGCAAAACCCTAAAACCTGGGTTCTTCTCATTTCACTCTTCAAGAAAGAAGACAAAACGTAGGGAAAAAGAAAGTACAGGCCAAAAATGGTAAAATGTTGAAATAAGAAGATCAGGTACTGATTGGCACTTTGCCAGAAACGACGTCACTCCACGAACGTTTCTTTAACTCTGATGATGGTGGAACGGCGTCGCTTTGAATCGTCTCCTTCCCTCTTGTAGACGACTCTGCTCCATTGTTGACCATTGGAGATTTGAATTGCAACGGCAGCGGTGAAAATCTTCTGTTCTCCCCTGATAGGCGAAGATACTTCCTGGTCATCTACTTTAACGACAATGCAATCCGTTGTCAAACTGGTCGAGTTGTTGAGATCGGCGGAGGATTCGACTATGGAATTGGAGTGGTGGGGCAAGAAGAAGAAGAAGAAGAAGAAGCGGTGAGAGCGACAGATGGTGGCGAAGCGAGGCTTAGAGGATGAGGCAGAGGAAATGGAAGAGAGTTGCATTGTCGGCATCTGGGTTGGGGTTTCATCGAAAAGGGAGGTTGGGGTTTCTCGAAAAAGGTGTTGCAGCGGCGTTGCATTTTGTGTTTATGCTACCTCTTCTTCATTCCAGTCCAATTGAGTCATTTTTGTATTTGTTAATGGTCCCTGCAGACGTTTATTTCCCCAATGAGCTCTAGCTCACTTGATGTGTTCGTCTTTTCCAGGACTCGCAGTGGAAAGAAGTACCCAGCAGCCCATCAAGGCCACAACTACTGAAATTCCTCCCACTATTATGAGTAAGACTTGTCGTCTGTCTAATTTATAGCATTTGACTTCTTTTTTTCGATCAGGTGCTCATGTTGATTTCATTGTCTAGCCGATTTGAGTTTTTCCCTGGAAGACAAAATTGGGATGAATGGTATGTTCTGTTGTTGCATATGTTTTGAACATATTGATATCTTATTACCTTTTAACCTTGAGCTATTACTTAGTTCTGCATCTGCACCCAAAGAGCCCATATACAGAGTGCTCATATGTGCGATGTTTCTGTTAGAGCTTAGAATAGAATAAGGTTATCTATGAATATGATGCTGGAACAAAGGCACACAAAGTTAATTGCTTCTGTTATGAGCATAAGTGAAGGCTTCTAGTAGTGTGTCTCCTGGAAAGAGTTGTCTGGATTCTGACTAATAGTATGACTGGGCTAATTAATGCAGGGTTTGGTAAGATTGGTTCTGCATATTTTGCAACATCGATCTAGGCACGATGTGGAAATGGAGGCAGTCAATGATCCTTTCATTGATGCTAAGTACATGGTAAGAGTTGGCTTAGTAACTATTAACATTTCTTTTCCCTATACTCCAAATGAAAAGGATCTTTGGTAATGTCAAAGTTGTTTAATTGTACTGGATTGTTCTCTGAAATGTAATTCAATATGTTTCATTTGAAATTTGACGATGAATTGGCATGAGTATAGTTCTTCCCGCATTGAAATCTGAAACCAAAGCACATCTTTTCATTTTATTTGAAAATAAATTCTCATTCACTATATTTTATTCATTATATTCAGGCTTACATGCTCAAGTATGATTCTAACGAACAACAAACGAAACTGGGTTTTGTGGGTTTACTCTGCAGTCATGTCTTGTCTTCTGCGACCGACCAGAACAAAACAACACTACCCTCTGACAGATTTCCATTACTTTCAACCAAAGGCAGCCTGTGTTTTTTCATTGTATCACCTCAAGGCCTATCACAGGAAGGACCATGGGCCCATTGTTGACCCAAATTGGTTACTAATCGTGAAGGCCTTGGATGCAGGGAAGGCTTGGCGGAAGGAATCTTACAAAACGCACAATGCAATTTAATTGTTCGTGAAACCCTCCCAGAGTAGCAAATTCAAATCCCTGAAAATACAACCTATGTTTTGCTATTATATATTTTGTAGATTCTCACCATTATAAAAAAAAATGTGAGTCTGCATGGGTGAAAGTAAGAAATCCAAAACACAACGTCCCATATTAAATAGCATTTAATGACTCTTATAATCCTGCAAAAGTGCTCCCGTTGTAGGTTTCAAAACGAAGAAGCCTTATTTTTTAATTCAACGACATCGAATTACTTGATTGTGGTTGATCAGGACTTACTTTTTAAATTGATAAATCAGGGAATCCTTCACTGTCACTCTCATGAAAGATTCCCTGTAAATTTGAAATTAGTAATTCTTCAAATAGTAGTTAAAATACTGATTATTGAAATATGGATTGATATTGAATGCGAGTCTTAGAAGTATATTTCTAAGTTACATCTTACATGAACATAAAGAACAATCCACCTTTGAATTAATTATTTCTTTCAATCAATTATGTTCTTCAAGAGCAACAACCTAAAGTTTCATCAAGACTTCAGCAACCAACTTCCACGGTGTGCATTAAGACTCCCTTCACCCTTTAATCCATAGTGCCCTATAATGATATAGGTAGTCAATCACACAAGAATAGTTTTCAAGCTGCAATTTGGCATAATACTGACACAATGTTTCAATCTGATCGGAGTTGTTCCTAAAAAAAATAAGACTTATCAGCAGATTTTTTATCTACTTATGACGCAGCTGACACACTAATGTTCCCTGAAACCGTGAAACATTCTCATTTCAAACAATCGAAATATTCACAACGTACCTAACAATTGTTTCTTTGATGCAAACATGGTGCACGTAAGGGTACATATTACCATGAAAATTCAACATTACAATCCATTGAAGCACTAACCATTCATCTCTTACATCGATTTAATAATAACCAATCGGTTTGTTAAGATCCTAGAATGGAGTGAGGAGGAGCATTTGACAGAAGCTGGGATTGCCTCAGTAAAAGCTAATTTCACGCAAGAAGCATCTGATGGATCATTATAATATTAGGAAGGTACTTAAGTTTGATCTTAACTTGTGTTTATTAAAACCCCTTATAGAATAAAAGCTGGGTTCTGCTGCTCAATCGATTTAGTTGAAAGCTGAATTTCTAAGGAAGTAGCAAAATTGACATAAACCCAACAGCTCCAATGACTTAAACTTACAAAATCAGAGTATAAAGGTTGTCGCTGGAGAAGGAAAACAAATATGAGATGAAAAACTTTTGACCCGCCTTCGGAGGAGAAATCAGATTCTTGGAAATAGCCCAGGTGTCGTATTTTCGGAGGTGGACAAACTCTTACGGAACACAGGTAGCGGTGATTGAATCTAAGCTGCCAAATAGTTAGCTTGGCGACGGAAATGCGGCCAATTGATTTCGGAGAGGGGCAAGATGTGAGTAGTGACAGTCGGACAGATTCGAGCGGTAGATAAATGTGAGATGGAATCACGACGATTGGAATTTCGATTGGATTCAGACGGGGACCTTGGGCCCAGCGCAGGCCTTCCTAGACTGGCCCATTCGAAATTGGAAGGTCCAGTGGCTTGGGTAAAATGCACAGCTTCAATTAAGTTGTGATAAAAAGATATTATTACCCCTCTGTGAAACCCTCTAAGAGCTGTAAATTCAAATTCCTGAAAAAGTAACCCATGTTTTGGCTTTATGTTCTTTGTAGATATCTATCCTTCAGTTTCATTTTCCATCCGGATTTTGTAATTCAATTTGAACCATGGTTAATTAGGTGGAAATATCATTTCTACCCCTAAGAATTTGTCTACCGAGAAAAGGAAAAGATGAACGGCACGACGGCCAAAGAGTGGAGATTTCGTTTCTGGGCAATTCTATTATGCCAGCACGGCACCCATGCCGCGGGACTAGATACCGTGACAACGGGATGAGATACCGTCACAACCCCTTAGAGGTTGTGAAATTCACATTCCACTTTGTAGCTATTGGATACATTCTCTCTCCTGTCTCTTTCTTCTTTTTTTAAATCGATGGTTAGGATTACAAGAAGGCTATTTTTGGAATAGAAAAAACTAGCCACATAGGATTACTATCACTATTAATTTCAATATTCTTTCCTTTCTCTAAAAACCCTAATCAGATCCCCCCTCTCTGCAGCCACCACCGCCAGTTCTCCCTTCTTCTTCTTCTTCATCACATCTACCCCTACCGTCGGAGCCACCACCATCCAGCCCTCCCGCCGCCCTCTGTCGCCACCCCTGCCATCGGCGCCACCACCATCACAGCCTCTCCCGGTCACAGCCTTCTCGCCTCCCTCTGCCGCTGCAACCGCCTTCCACCACCATCACCAAAGTCGCCTCTGCCTCCCCCTTCCATTCTTCCTCCGCCTCCCACCCCCACCTGTCTTCACACCGCCGTCGCCGCCACCACGAGGTAACCACCTCTCCTCTGCCTTCCCCTTCCCTCATCCCCTATTTATTTCAGATCTGGGATTTTCTAGATTTCATATCTGGTTTTTCTGTCTTAGTCTCTAGTGGTACACTACCAGTGCTATTGGTACGCAACCAGTGCTAGTGGTACACTACCAGTGCTAGTTGTACGCTACCAGTGGTACTGGTACCTATCAGAGGTAGTGGTACGCTACCAGTGGTACTGGTACGCTACCACTACTCACTAGTAGCGCTAACAGTAGTAGTGGTACACACCAGTGGTACTAGTACACTATCAGTGGTAGTGCTACGCTACCACTACTCATTGGTATCGTACCAGTACCACTGGTAGCGTACCACTACCTCTGATAGGTACCAGTACCACTACCACTAGCGCACTCACAAAGTTGTACTTTTTTGCAGGTGGCCGAAGTGAGTCTGACTGAAGGTTGTCATCGGAAAAAAGTCTGCCAGTCGGAGTAAGTTTGGCGGTAGGAGCGAAGAGGTTGCTGGAAAAAGTAGAGAGAGATAGAGAGAGATAGAAGTGTATTAACTGTAGAGCTTTTTAAAAAAAGTATGTATTTAATATGGGTTTTTAATTCCCAATATGTAATTAATACAAAAAAATTAATTACTATTTTTTTTATACCCAAATTACCCTTGGTTGTTAATCTCACAACCCTCTAAGGGGAAGTGACCGTATCCAACCCCCTTGGGGGTTGTCAATTTCGCTTCCCCTTTAGTAGCCGTCCATTCCTCTTCCTCACCATCTGACGGTTGATGATGGCCAAGGGAAAAAAAGATAGTGCCCACACTGGATTCCTCTGCCCACTAATTGCTGACGTCAGCCGGGTTTGGAAAAGGGAAAGAATTTGGTGGGGGAGAGAAATTAGCCACCCTCCCCGCAGAACGATTCGTCTCCCCCAAACCCTTTTCCTCTGTCTTCTCCCAAAAACCTTCCCTTCCACCATCTCCGATCAATTTTCTCGGCGTTTCCTGCCATCGTCTCACCCGGTCTCGTGTTGAGTGCAAAGTCTTGGTGTTTGTCTGCCCTAAAACCATTTTCCCCTCCATCGTCTCCCAAAAAACCCAGCAACCGTCACTGCCATCGTCCCTTCTTGCTGCCGTGCAAACCATCACAGGCGAGGTATAATCATGCAATCCTTTCTTTCTTGTGTGGCTTGTTTGATTTGGTTTTTGTATAATCGAGTGGTAC